AATCTAATCAAATATTACTTTGATATATTCATGAGCAACAACATCAGTCTTTATAAATCAGCAGGTAGTGACCTGGATTCACAGGATCCTTGTACACATTTATTTGGACTGCATTGAGAGAGAGGGAGACACTTGCACTGGCTTTCTTTGGAGTTGAGTGATTATTTCACTCCTCTTTTGGTTGTTGAAGAAACTGACAGTTTTGTCAACACCGACTGCTGAAACATGATCGATATTCTTTTTCGACCTCAGGGCAGCACCACAACAGTAGGAATGAATGACACACATCACAACATCATCCATCCATCCATTTTCTTCCCCTTAATCCATGAATCTGAAATAAATGAATCTTTCGGGGTCGGAGGGGTGGCAGTCAGAGCTGCACCCAGTACACAGGATCCTCACTGATCCTACTGCAGGTGGTGAGTCCACAGGAGCTCCACAACATCATAATCATCTTAAACTGCATCCCATTTATGCATTCACAATTACCTACATGACGCAAATGCAGGGTGTAAAATCTTCCTCAGAAGATGACAATGGTTGACCTTCTAATTCTGGAAGCGAAGTCTCGTCTTCCCAGTCAATACTAGAGAATGAAGAGGTGTATTACACTTCAGCAAAAAAGTACAGTATCTAGTCCAGGAAACAACAACAATTTACCAGGTAACAACAAGATGCACACAGACCTTGAGTTTCTTCAGTGGAGATGTCTTCCTCTAGCTGCTGTACATGAGGGAAATCACCGTCATCATCCCTGGCAAAAACAAACAATTCAATTAAATATTCTTACAGATCAGAAGTGATTGTAGCAGCCACATATTCGCAAGAAACTACAGACAGCTAGCCCTCACAGCTAATGCTAACAGCGAACGCTAACAGCTGACGCTACTTCACGGGGGAACTCTAGTGATAGGGGACGCTTTTGCTGGGCTTCAGAGGCGTCGATAGCATACATATTGTATTCATTAATTTTGTACATGTAGGGAACTAATTATTGACCGGAGTTTACTGATGGCTGAGGCCAGGCTAAGGCTTCGATGTTGTGTTGTCTTTCTCATAGCCAACGCTAGGTAATGCGCAGTTTTCGCCACAAAATGGGACATATTTCTACAACAGCTGGGCATTTTTAACAAGCCATCTTGATGAAAAACCGCATTAGTCTATCTCAGGCAAACATATGTATAAATAATACAGCTACTACAGCCACTACTGAGTAAAATGATGCTCACCCATTCAGCCGGAAAGAGACGAGTGGGTTTTTACATCAATGATTTATCCACCGAGCTAGAGGTCGCCAATATAAATGCAGCTGGTCACCATGTTGCTCCTTCTTTGTTGTCGTTCCGTTTCTGGCGTTTAGCGTGTATTTTGTAGCAGCGCTGAAGGCAGCGTTGCTTACTCCGCCATGTTTGTTTTGGAGAGTGCACATGCACATGCACATACATACCGTTCTCTCTTGATTGGATAACATTTGTAGGATACAAGATTTTTTTTAAATACGGCTGAGAGCAGAGTGGAGTGACTGAGAGATCCGTGTTTTGGTCCAAACACTCTATATACAGTGGCTTGCGAAAGTATTCGGCCCCCTTGAACCTTTCAATATTTCGCCACATTTCAGGCTTCAAACATAAAGATATAAAAAAAATTGTCATGAATCAACAACAAGTGGGACACAATCGTGAAGTGAAACGAAATGTATTGGATAATTTAAACTTTAACAAATAAAAAACTGAAAAGTGGGGCATGCAATAATATTCGGCCCCTTTACTTTCAGTGCAGCAAACTCACTCCAGAAGTTCAATGAGGATCTTTGAATGATCCAATGTTGTCCTAAATGACTGATGATGATAAATAGAATGCAACTGTGTGTAATCAAGTATCCGTATAAATGCACCTGCTCTTTGATAGTCTCAGGGTTCTGTTTAAAGCGCAGAGAGAACCATGAAGACAAAGAAACACACCAGGCAGGTCCGAGATACTGTTGTGGAGAGGTTTAAAGCCGGATTTGGATACAAAAAGATTTCCCAAGCTTTAAACATCTCAAGCAGCACTGTGCAAGCAATTATATTGAAATGGAAGGAGTATCAGACCACTGCAAATCTACCAAGACCCGGCCGTCCCTCCAAACTTTCATCTCAAACAAGGAGAAGACTGATCAGAGATGCAGCCAACAGGCTCATGATCACTCTGGATGAACTGCAGATAACTACAGCTGAGGTGGGAGAGTCTGTCCATAGGACAACAAAAATCTGGCCTTGAGACCTGAGACTGGGACGGAGATTTATCTTCCAACAGGACAATGATCCAAAACATAAAGCCAAATCTACAATGGAATGGTTCACAAATAGACGTATCCAGGTGTTAGAATGGCCAAGTCAAAGTCCAGACCTGAATCCAATCGAGAATCTGTGGAAAGAGCTGAAGACTGCTGTTCACAAACGCTCTCCATCCAACCTCACTGAGCTCCAGCTGTTTTTGCAAGGAAGAATGGGCAAGAATTCCAGTCTCTCGATGTGCAAAACATAGAGACATACCCCAAGCGACTTGCAGCTGTAATTGTAGCAAAAGGTGGCGCTACAAAGTATTAGCGCAAGGGGGCCGAATAATATTGCACGCCCCACTTTTCAGTTTTTTATTTGTTAAAAAAGTTTAAAATGATCCCATAAATTTCGTTCCACTTCACGATTGTGTCCCACTTGTTGTTGATTCTTGAGAAAAAAATAGAATTTTTATATCTTTATGTTTGAAGCCTGAAATGTGGCGAAAGGTTCAAGGGGGCCGAATACTTTCGCAAGGCACTGTAAGTATTGTATTGTATGTACTTTATTTGAACAGGGACAGTGTACAGTTAAGCATTAACACAGAAGGAGAGATGCATGTACCAGGTTATAGCAAAGATGCTAATTTCCACCTGTAGTCCCGTGATGGCTATTGGATATACAGTAAATATTTAAGACTTATATTAACACAAAAAAATCACTTACATTTGCTTTAACTCTGTATTCTTGTGCTTTGTGAACACACTCATTGTATGTTCCAAAACTCAATTTAATGGGACAAATTGAATTTTTGCGACTCGAAGGGAAGTCAGCCAGACTTCGGCTTCAGAATTTCCATTTTTTCACTTTTTAAGTGAAATTGTAAATAAATAGATACATATCAATACAACTTTATTCTAAAAAGCAGACTTTATCATAAAATTTGAGTAGGTGTAGAATTCGGTTTTCACTAGTGCTTTGTAAACACACTCATGATAGAAAAAATTGATTTCTTCTAAAGCAGAATTATGTGCGTGATACCACTAATGTGACTGGAGTATAAATCAGACCATCCCTGGTAATAAGTTTGTTTTAAAATAAGATAACCGTTATTTGTCTGCCCTCCACCAAACCCAATTCCCAGCACACATTAAAGTTTATGTAATAACGCAGTCTGTGACAGAGCTTCCCAGCTTGAAATGTGAAAGCAATACACTAAATTAGGGCTCACATCCGTGAGCGATTTGCCTGCCATACTTGACAAGTGCAAGCCTCCCCTAGAAAACAACCAATTAGCAAAATCAACTGCCGTTGCACTACATAGCCCTGGCTGTGTCCAGAGTATTCTTATAAAACGCCTTTTCCTCATTTTCTTTTTGCCACAACAGGGCGAGAGAGTGGAAAACTTTGGGGTTTTTTGGATCAGCCATTGTAGGTGTTTTTGAAAATCTGACACTCAAACAACTTAAACACTGTTCTTTTTGACTGTAGTCATTAGAAATGTGGATGATGTGGGATGACAGTGGCTCAGTTGGTAGAGCATTGGCCTTTGAGCCTGAAAGTTGTGGGTTCGAGCCCACAAGACCTTTCTACACCGACTCCCACAGATATCTGCTACCGGTGTGTCCTTGGGCAAGACACTTAATCCCACTTTGCCTGAGGCCACTGCTGAAAGATCAAGGCTGTACTGTCACTGACAGAGCAGCCATCCTCCTGTGGACTACTCCCCTGGAGGAGGATCAGTGAGGGGCTGGTGCTTTGTGAATTGGGTGTCTGAGAGCAGGCGCTGGGAGTTTGCAAATCGTTGTTGTGAGCGCGTTGCAGTGGAAACGCCACAGTTAGGCCTGTCACGATAACAAATTTTGCTGGACGATTAATTGTCTCAGAAATTGTTCTGAGATCATTTTCATCTAATACAATGATAATGATGTAGGTATACCTTTTCAGAGAGAAATAAACTTTCATTTTTAAAGACCACTGCCAGAAGTGGCGGAAGTAGCGGTTGGGCTTTGATGCTAACAGAGTTAAGCTAGCGGCTTTTTGTGTAAAGTTCTTCTCCAATAATGCAGCTTTGCAGCGTCTCTGTGTCCAGAGACTTTATATAACAGCAGTATGTGTTCACGGAGGTGAGCCATAAGTTTATTGTATTATTAAACGTTACTTCCGCATCGGCGAACACGCTAGCTGCGCTAGTTTCGTCACTTCTAGAGCCTGGTTTAGGTCCTGTTTTGGCTGTATTTTGTATTTTTGAGTATTACCAGTCTGCACGCTAGACCGCTAATGTCCCCGTGACCACTTTGCGGCTCTCTGACCCAAGAGAGAGAGGGAGAGACGTGGATAACAAACAAGCATGCAAATGGAACTTATCGCGGCCAGAAAAATTATCGAGCTAATTTGAATTATCTTGCGATTAACTTGATTTATTGATTATCGCGACAGGCCTAACCACAGTCCCACCTCAGCTCCAGGTTAACTTGCATACCTTGCAGTGTTGTGACACACAGTTCACGAGGCACAGACGCCAATCCCCTGCCATGACGTCACACTCTCGGGTTTGAGGCCAAGACAACGCAAATGTATTTTAAAAACGTATTTTTCAAAAAAAGCCAGAAATCTACAATTCCTCTTCATCCTCATGTTAATTATCTACATTTCATAATATAGTTTAGTTTGAAAGGGATAATAAAGGTGTATTTTTGAATCCCCCACACACACACATTTTTTGAGTATTTTTCTTACCACTTGTGTGTTAAATTCTTTCACAGCCAAATACAGAGCCATCGCAGTGATGACATCTGCTAACTACAATGGGGAATAAGAAAAGAAATTAGTGTACAGTGAAAGTATTCGGCCCCCTTGAACCTTTCGCCACATTTCAGGCTTCAAACAAAGATATAAAAATTAAATTTTTTGTCAAGAATCAACAACAAGTGGGACACAATCGTGAAGTGGAACAAAATTTATTGGATAATTTAAACTTTTTTAACAAATAAAAAACTGAAAAGTGGGGCGTGCAATATTATTCGGCCCCCTTGCGCTAATACTTTGTAGCGCCACCTTTTGCTGCAATTACAGCTGCAAGTCGCTTGGGGTATGTCTCTATCAGTTTTGCACATCGAGAGACTGGAATTCTTTCCCATTCTTCCTTGCAAAACAGCTCGAGCTCAGTGAGGTTGGATGGAGAGCGTTTGTGAACAGCAGTCTTCAGCTCTTTCCACAGATTCTCGATTGGATTCAGGTCTGGACTTTGACTTGGCCATTCTAACACCTGGATACGTCTATTTGTGAACCATTCCATTGTAGATTTGGCTTTATGTTTTGGATCATTGTCCTGTTGGAAGATGAATCTCCATCCCAGTCTCAGGTCTTTTCCAGACTCCAACAGGTTTTCTTCCAGAATGGTCCTGTATTTGGCTCCATCCATCTTCCCATCAATTTTAGCCATCTTCCCTGTCCCTGCTGAAGAAAAGCAGGCCCAAACCATGATGCTGCCAGCACCATGTTTGACAGTGGGGATGGTGTGTTCAGGGTGATGAGCTGTGTTGCTTTTCTGCCAAACATATCGTTTTGCATTGTGGCCAAAAAGTTTGATTTTGGTTTCATCTGACCAGAGCACCTTCTTCCACATGTTTGGTGTGTCTCCCAGGTTGCTTGTGGCAAACTTTAAACAAGACTTTTTATGGATATCTTTGAGAAATGGCTTTCTTCTTGCCACTCTTCCATAAAGGCCAGATTTGTGCAGTGCACGACTGATTGTTGTCCTATGGACGGACTCTCCCACCTCAGCTGTAGTTATCTGCAGTTCATCCAGAGTGATCATGGGCCTCTTGGCTGCATCTCTGATCAGTCTTCTCCATGTTTGAGATGAAAGTTTGGAGGGACGGCCGGGTCTTGGTAGATTTGCAGTGGTCTGATACTCCTTCCATTTCAATATAATTGCTTGCACAGTGCTCCTTGAGATGTTTAAAGCTTGGGAAATCTTTTTGTATCCAAATCCGGCTTTAAACTTCTCCACAACAGTATCTCGGACCTGCCTGGTGTGTTCCTTTGTCTTCATGGTTCTCTCTGCGCTTTAAACAGAACCCTGAGACTATCAAAGAGTAGGTGCATTTATACGGAGACTTGATTACACACAGGTGCATTCTATTCATCATCATCAGTCATTTAGGACAACATTGGATCATTCAAAGATCCTCACTGAACTTCTGGAATGAGTTTGCTGCACTGAAAGTAATGGGGCCGAATAATATTGCACGCCCCACTTTTCAGTTTTTTATTTGTTAAAAAAGTTTAAATCACCCAATAAATTTTGTTCCACTTCACGATTGTGTCCCACTTGTTGATGATTCATGACAAAAAATTAAAATTTTATATCTTTATGTTTGAAGCCTGAAATGTGGAGAAATGTGTAAAGGTTCAAGGGGGCCAAATACTTTCGCAAGGCACTGTATCTTATTAATGTAGTGTAAAAACAACAACCCAATACACCAAATGTTCTTACCATAAATGTTATCTCAGCATAGTCCACCACAAAATGAAACAAGTATATGATGAGAGGAGTCTGGAGGTAGAAAATGTTGCCGTTACTTGCATAGCATTTTGTCATGTTATACAATGTGCAGTTGCGCACATTCACTAAAGTTTTTCTTTAATGTAATGCTGCCTTACATAATAAATTCAGATGTAAAGACAGTCTTACCTCATGGAAAACATCTCCAGAGTAAGGCGAGACTCCCAGATCCAGCAAAGCCAAACCTTCAATCACTGGAACAGATGTGTTGGTAACATACGGCATGCGAATATATCATATAAATACACTTATGATTTCATATATCCGATGCATTAAATATATCAATCAAAATATTATAGCAAACTCATTATAATTACAAAAAATTAAAATGTTTGCCTAAAGCAGTGCTTCTCAATTATTTTCTGCCAACAATAAAAAACAAGATGCCTGTTGTGGTTTGTTCCGTTTGTCCACAACCTTTTACTTTTGGGCCCAACCAACAGGTTTTATTAATCCAAGGGAAAATGTAGGTACCTCAACTTTAATTTAGAGAGTTTTTGTTGCGATGCTGGAAGAGACACTATTTGAGAAGCACTGGCCTAAAGAAATCTAATAGTGCAGAAAGCAAAGGAACTTAGCTTGTTAAGATAAGTATTGAATTGACTGATTGTTGGAGAAAATATCATTTTGGTGTAGCGAGAGACCATATGAAAATCTGTTTGTACAAATAAGTGATATTGCAGCACTAGTATTTTCGTCTCAAGTATTGTCAAAACAAAAAAAAGATGTTGGTGGCTGAGTGGATAGCACTCTTGCCTCTCAGCAAGACGGTTCTGGGTTTTAATCCCGGTCGGAACAGGGCCTTTCTGAGTGGAGTTTGCATGTTCTCCCCGTATCTGCGTATGTTCCCTCCGGGTACTCCGGTTTCCCCTACCACTAGAAACTTGTGCAATAATTCAGGCTGAATGAGTGTGTGTTTGTGAGTGCAAATGTGGGAAAACGGATTGAAAATAGCCCATGGCTACAATCTGGAGTGATGTCTTCATTAACATGTACTGTCCCAACCAAATAAACAATAAAATAAATAAATGAATAAATAAAGAAGTGCAACCGATTAGAATTCATCACATCTATGAGGCAACCAAAAATAAACACTTCACTTCCTGTTACATAATGGATTAATAAGGTAGTTGCCAATATGAGATTTATGTCAATCTAACTATAAAACTAGAAACGTGAGGCTTGTGATTGCTGTAATGCCCGGGGTAAAATAGGGAATAATTGATAATAGCATAGTACCACATGCCTTCGGCAATCGACGTGATGTCTTTTGGATGTTTTATGGTTTTGCAGTCAAATATTAAAATTGAATCTAAAAGGAGAAGTTATGAAAATTAACAAAGAAAATTTGAGAATCCACTGTAATAATGTTATTACTACAAACTGTCAAATGTAGATTGCACATTTCCTAAACCGGTTTGGCTTCCGTTCACATCCATGCAGTCCAGACGGGGATCAGGCACTACACCGGGTTTAGGAGCTCAAATACCGGTAACTCATACCTGAAACACCGCCTACCTCTCTTCCAGGCGGTCAGCGGAGACACGACTTCCACCCTCTCAGCGATGATGTCCGTTAAACTGGATCTGAAGATAAATAAACGGATAGTAACACCAACAATCAGAAAGAGAGTCAAGGGAGCCGCCATCTTAACAAGGAAGCGCTCGTCCTCTGCAAAGCACGATGGGGAATGGAGTTCTTCTTCTTCTTCTTCTTCTTCTTCTTCTTCTTCTTCTTCTTCTTCTTCTTCTTCTTCTTCTTCTTCTTCTTCTTCTTCTTCTTCTTCTTCTTCTTCTTCTTCTTCTTCTTCTTCTTCTTCTTCTTCTTCTTCTTCTTCTTCTTCTTCTTCTTCTTCTTCTTCTTCTTCTTCTTCTTCTTCTTCTTCTTCTTCTTCTTCTTCTTCTTCTTCTTCTTCTTCTTCTTCTTCTTCTTTGTGCAATTTTATTGGTGGGTGCCTTTCCGCCATCTACTGTATCGGAGTGTGAACCAGACCTACAATGTTTCAAGTCTATCTTGTACCAATTTTGATACACCTCCAACATTTCTTTGAAACCTTCTTTCCCCCAGAAAGCCTAGATCCACTGAGACTGCTGGAAACACCTATGGAAGGTGACATTAACAGTCATTGGTGCTGTCACAGTAGTTCTTGATCCAACATTATGGCCTGTGCCATTTTCTAACTTTAAAACATTCGCGCTTTGCTGTCTCGATTTTGCTGCTTTCATCTACATTACTATTTGAATTAAATAATAATAATAATAATAATAATAATAATAATAATTTGTTCAAGAAGCTAAGATTCAATGTTTTACTTTGAAAGTCGCCGGAAATCATCGTCTTTATTGCTCTTCTCTTTCTGTTTCGTCAGTGCAACAGGGAAAAGTCCTTATTATCGACCCATGGCGGGGCTGGAGGTGCTCTATGCGTGCTTTATGGACGGGATCAACTGTGGCAATGATGCTGTGGTGTGTTTTGTTCACTGGGAGCTGATCAAAGGAGGATACAGGTGCATCGGCTCTGGAGACGAGGTGCGGGATGCTAACGGTTAATGCTAACGACTGCTAATGTTATGTCATTTAGCCTCTAGCCTCAAACCGTATTAAGGTATTGGAGGATTTTCTACTTCCGTGTGGATCATCAAGACTATTGGTCCCCCCAATTGTCAATCATTTTGGTGATACGTGCTCATCAGATAAGACTAGAGAGTTTTGTTCAAAAAGTTGAGAGGGCGGTTCTTTCATTCCAATTACAAAGTATTAATTTAGACTGTTCTCAAGTCGTTTACAGTTGCTGGAACCATGTTTCGTGAGTCTAACTTTCATTTCTTAATTTTCTGGTTCATCAGAAGAGTGATAAACAACAAATTGTATTATTTACTGAACATTTTGATTTAAATGTGGAATGGTATTTTTTATTTTAATGTAAATATCCATACAAACAAAACAAATACATTCATATTTCTAAAAGGAGCTAACAATACTAATAAAGTCCAACAGCACTTTATGTCACAGCAGAAGAGGGGTAGCTTAGCTGCTGGGTGGAAAAGGACTGTCTGTCACAGCAGCAGAGGTGGTGTAGCCGTTGGGTGTAGCAGGACAGTTCACAGCAGAAGAGGTGGAAGACGCTTGGTTCGGATCATTTTCTCTGCACTGGTCCAGAGTGAAATGCTTAATGCATTTTTCAAAAAATGGATTTCCGCTTGATATGCTTGGTTCGAACCGTGAATGCTCTCTGGCCTTGTCTGGATCAGTGTAAAACCATGAACACTGTACTGTAGTATCATATACAGGTTGGAAAAAAAACAACTGTTTCAGGACTCCCGTTTCCAGTGCACTCGAAAGTAAATGTGGATTAAGCCCTATTCGGACGGGATTAGTTTTACATGGGGACCCCTGGTAATTTGTGATAATCGCAGAGGACGTCTGAGATTTTAGTCCCGTGCGAATGCGCCATGTCTGTAATTTGTCAAGTAATAATTCCGCCACAAATTACCTCCTGTATTTGTCCAAACACAAACGTCCTCTGATAATACTGCGAGTGAATCTGCACGTCAGCGATTGTGATTGCTATTGCCGCTTTCTCTTTACTTTCTGCTTTGTTTTTATCAATGAGCAGAGGCGTCGTGTATCGCGGCTGTGTGCACCTGCAGAGTTGCCGGTGCTGCTGTCTCTGTGAGGTCTATGGAGAAGCATAGAGGACAGTGTAATGTGTTCACTGACAATAAATGATCAGACCGATGGGGTGCGTTCGTACCCCACGCCACGCCACGCCCACTCTCCATGACAGACGGCAGAAGTCTAACTGCGAGCCTACTGACACCTGACCAAAACAACCTGTTTCAGCGCATTACAGCCAAAACTGTGACATTTTGCAGTGCGGTTGATTATACTAACAGGCAAGGACATAAGCTTTTTTATCTGATACCTGCTCGTCATGAAGACAGGAGACGACGATGGCCAGCGGCAATCAACCAAAAGGACTGGGACCCATCCAAGTACTCCCTAATATGCAGTGAACACTTTTTACAAGATAAAGCAATCACAAGTTTGTATTTATTTTATTTCAATTAATTTGGAGGACAATGACACACGTCAAACGTGTCTCTTACTACTGTCCTGTATGTGCGCTGCAACATTGACATTTTTATCTTTTAAGTCAATTGCGTGTTTTTCTATTTTCCTCTCCGTCAGTACGTATCATGTTTGGCTGAAGACAGAAAAGCCACAGAAAAGTGGACTATTGCTAATGCTACCAGCAAAATGTACATATAAATCTGCTCCAGTGTAAGGGGATGCATTGTTAACAATAATGATAAAGATCATGTAGGGTGAATTTGGGCAAAAATAGACATTTTATTTAATCGATAAAATTGACTGGGGGGAGAAGGTACGGGTCAACATCCAGTTAGGCAATCCTTAACTTCTCCTTAACCCTTAACGCTCTCTTTGTGAGCCCTGACCTGATGTCCTACTTCCACCTATAACGTAATCGAATATGTGCTTGAAGCAGCCACTTCTCGATTTAGGAGAGGAAGCTCCGTTTTTAAGAGTTGTAGTCTGTTTTGCTCTTGCAGCAATGCTAGTTTCCAATACTTCCGCCGTAAGCTCATTCACAATCACGTGACTGGATGATGTTGATGCATCTGGTCAATACAGAACAGATGTGTTACTGCAGCCGTTACTATTTGTCTGCTTGCACGTATGTTAGCAGAGTATGTGGGGCGTTCACGGGTAGTCTGTACAAAAAGAATTGTTTAAACATTATAGAAAGTACAGGCCAGAGAACTGTAGAGCAGTAAAATCTACATGTACAGTATGTGTTTGTCCTCATGATCTCTGTGGCTGCTGTGGTCAGACGCCAGTCTTTATGAACTGTGTGAAGCGGAAAGACCCGCGCACGTGCGGCCGTTATGTGAGCTGTCAGTGAAAATTACAGACATTGCTTATCCCGTGCGAATGCACTGTCAGATCTCAGACGTCCTCTGTGATTATCACAAATTACCAGGGGTCCACAGGTAAAACTAATCCCGTCCGAATTATCAACATTAATAATCATTAGTTACAGCCCAAGATGTACAGTAAACAAGATCCATGTCAATATAAATCATTCAAAATTGAATAAACTATGCTTATATTTTTAGTTTTGACCATTTTAAGATTTTGTATTTCCATGGTGGTGCCAACCCAAATTCTGAAACCCACTGACATCTAAGCATCTCTTTATACATTGTGTTTTGAAAATATGACTATAGGTGTAATACTTGCTGTGTCCCCAGGCGCGCAGCAGTGATAAGAAGTCGGAGCTGCTCCCTGCCGACTGGAGTAGTAACAAAGAGCTGTACACTCTAAGATACAAGCCCACAGACGCAGACACACTGTACATGCTCAAAGGCATTCCCATCGACTCTGCGCTTCTGTTCAATTTTATGGTGAGTGCAGGTTTTCAAGTGTGAGTTAGCAGGGTTTTTGCGTGGTGCCATAGTATTGTACTGGTATCAGATTCTGATTTAGGATATTGTTTAGGTTCAGGGAATAAACTTCAACATTCAATCAGGTATTAGTGCAAGGAAGAACTAAGCGTTAACATGAGTGACCACATGATCTATACTAAAAACAACGCAGAGGAAAAAAAAACAACTTTTGACACCAAGAGGCTTATTACACATATAAATGTTTTCTTTATTTTAATTATGATGCAATACATTTTGTAATGTTGATAGCAGGTGCCACTTCTATGTTTTCCTGATCTCGTTTATATGATTTTTCTAACTGGCACATCTTTTCTCTAACATGTGCAGAACACAAGCAATGAGCAAGTGTTGGACTTGGTACTAAACATCAGTGACTATGTGAATACCGACCAGCTACAAACATTTGACAGGTTTGGTTGTCATTCTTTTTTGACTTATTTCAAATACAGATAATGTAATATATTTATGCTGGTGATAGTGCTGCCTTCTACTTAGGGATGTAAATCGGTGACCGTTTAACCGGTGGTTGACCGTCACAGCGTTAACCGGTCAAAGCTGTCAGTAAAAAAAAAGAAAAGGGGGAGGAGGAGGTCTCTTAATAACGCTATTTTAAGCCCTATTTGCACGGTGTGGCGAGCGGGTCTGTCTCTAGCTGTGTGCGCCAATGTCTCAGTAAACTCCGGGCCGACTCTCATGCCGCACGTGCCACATGCACACGCATGCGCGCGCGCATACACACACACTTTTTCCCCCCTCCATTGATACCTAACATCCACACGCATCAACTCTCCCCTCTGTCCGCCAAAGTTGCACATTAGCTTGGGTTAGAACTACATTGGAACTTACATTTACACACACATACATACATATACACAAACACATACCGGTCTGTCGCGCTCCTCTGTGTCACGCAGCCCAAAGTATTCAAATACGCGGCTCCAGTCAAATCACATGGGAACATGTTTGTGCAGCTGGTCCTTGGCATTAGATCAGCTCCACACACATCACGTACAGTGCCTTGCGAAAGTATTTGCCCCCCTTGAACCTTTCAACATTTCGCCACATTTCAGGCTTCAAACATAAAGATATAAAATTTTATTTTTTGTCATGAATCAACAAGTGGGACACAATCAGAACAAAATGTATTGGATAATTTCAACTTTTTAACAAATAAAAAAACTGAAAAGTGGGCATGCAATATTATTCGGCCCCTTTACTTTCAGTGCAGCAAACTCACTCCAGAAGTTCAGTGAGGATCTTTGAATGATCCAATGTTGTCCTAAATGACTGATGATGATAAATAGAATGCACCTGTGTGTAATCAAGTCTCGGTATAAAAGCACCTGCTCTTTGATAGTCTCAGGGTTCTGTTTAAAGCGCAGAGAGAACCATGAAGACAAAGGAACACACCAGGCAGGTCCGAGATACTGTTGTGGAGAAGTTTAAAGCCGGATTTGGATACAAAAAGATTTCCCAAGCTTTAAACATCTCAAGGAGCACTGTGCAAGCAATTATATTGAAATGGAAGGAGTATCAGACCACTGCAAATCTACCAAGACCCGGCCGTCCCTCCAAACTTTCATCTCAAACATGGAGAAGACTGATCAGAGATGCAGTCAAGAGGCCCATGATCACTCTGGATGAACTGCAGATAACTACAGCTGAGGTGGGAGAGTCTGTCCTTAGGACAACAATCAGTCGTGCAATGCACAAATCTGGCCTTTATGGAAGAGTGGCAAGAAGAAAGCCATTTCTCAAAGATATCCATAAAAAGTCTCGTTTAAAGTTTGCCACAAGCCACCTGGGAGAGACACCAAACATGTGGAAGAAGGTGCTCTGGTCAGATGAAACCAAAATCGAACTTTTTGGCCACAATGCAAAATGATATGTTTGGCGTAAAAGCAACACAGCTCATCACCCTGAACACACCATCCCCACTGTCAAACATGGTGGTGGCAGCATCATGGTTTGGGCCTGCTTTTCTTCAGCAGTGACAGGGAAGATGGCTAAAATTGATGGGAAGATGGATGGAGCCAAATACAGGACCATTCTGGAAGAAAACCTGTTGGAGTCTGCAAAAGACCTGAGACTGGGACGGAGATTCATCTTCCAACAGGACAATGATCCAAAACATAAAGCCAAATCTACAATGGAATGGTTCACAAATAGACGTATCCAGGTGTTAGAATGGCCAAGTCAAAGTCCAGACCTGAATCCAATCGAGAATCTGTGGAAAGAGCTGAAGACTGCTGTTCACAAACGCTCTCCATCCAACCTCACTGAGCTTGAGCTGTTTTGCAAGGAAGAATGGGAAAGAATTCCCGTCTCTCGATGTGCAAAACTGATAGACATACCCCAAGCGACTTGCAGCTGTAATTGCAGCAAAAGGTGGCGCTACCACCACCAGTATTAGCGCAAGGGGGCCGAATAATATTGCACGCCCCACTTTTCAGTTTTTTATTTGTTAAAAAAGTTTAAATTATCCAATAAATTTCTTTCCACTTTACGATTGTGTCCCACTTGTTGATTCTTGACAAAAAAAATATCTTTTTATGTTTGAAGCCTGAAATGTGACGAAATGTTTAAAGGTTCAAGGGGGCCGAATAGTTTCGCAAGGCACTGTATATTATATATATACACCACATAACATACAGCAAAATATATAACATTTATACAACATAACACAATACACAACATAATACATCTATTGTATAATATATAACATAATACAGCATATATATATAATATATACACCATATATTATATATTACCTACCTGTGGAATCAGCTTAGTAATAAGCTGATTCCACAGTAAAGGAGCTTGGTAGCTAAATGCTCTGCCGCCAACAGTGATTTTTGAGACCTTAGGAACCACCAGGCGTTTTGTGAGCGCAACGCTCGACTTGGTTGATATGACACTAACGTGTCTTGGAGATAGGAAGGAGCCAAGCCATTTATGGCTTTATATGTTAAGAGAAGGATTTTAAACTTTATTCTGTACTCCACAGGGAGCCAGTGGAGTGATTTTAACACCTGAGTTATGTGCTCCCTCCTTTTGGTACATGTTAAGATTTTAGCTGCTGTATTCTGAACGAGCTGGAAGCTCTTCAAAGAGGTTTTAGGGCATGCTGCCAATAAAGCGTTACAGTAGTCAAGTCTTGAGGTGACAAAAGCGTGAATACGTTTTTCCGCGTCACTTTTAGGAAGGAAATTCCTAATTTTAGCGATGTTCCGTAAGTGGAAGTACGCCGTTTTAGTTGCTTGGCTTATATAAGCCTTGAAGGAGAGTTCTTGGTCAAAAATGACTCCAAGATTCCTCAGTGTTACTGGGTATAATACTGACATTATCGAGAGTGATTATCTGGTTAGTAAGGGAGTCACGCAGGCGCTTCGGACCGAGTAGGATCACTTCTGTCTTCTCTGGGTTGAGAAGTAGGAAGTTAAGAGTCATCCACGTTTTAAGGTCCTTTATGCAGGCACTAAGCTTTTCTAGCTGATCTGTCTGATTTGGCTTCATCGACAGATAAAGCTGTGTGTCATCTGCATAGCAGTGGAAATTAATTCCATGCTTTTTAATGTTTCCTAACGGCAGCATGTAGAGAGTTAAAAGAATCGGTCCGAGTACCGAACCCTGCGGCACACCAAATTCCACTCCAGAATAAGGCGACGAGTTCTGATTTACGTTGACGAAGTGATACCGACCTGAGAAATAGGATTTAAACCAGCCAAGGGCTGTTCCTCTTAGACCTATATATAGAATGCTGTGGTCTATTGTGTCAAATGCAGCACTAAGGTCCAGTAGGACCAGCACTGACACTTGTCCATTATCAGCAGCTAGTAGTAAGTCATTTGTGACTTTGACTAGTGCCGTTTCAGTGCTATGATGAGCTCTGAATCCTGATTGAAAGACTTCAAACATATTATTTTCCTGCAGGTGGCAGCAAAGCTGCTCAGCTATAAGTTTTTCCAGGATTTTAGAAATGAAAGTTAGGTTTGAGATCGGTCTATAGTTTGTAAGTATTTCTGTTTTCTTCAGAAGGGGTTTGATTACAGCGGTTTTAAAAGCTTGTGGGACATAGCCACATTGTATGGATGCGTTTATTATATTTACGAGAGGCTCAATTATCAAAGGAAGCATGTCTTTGAAGAGCCAAGTCGGGATTGCGTCTAACATGCAAGTTGAGGCTTTTGAGGATGTGACCACAGAGATCACTTCTGCTTGGCTCACAGCCATGAATTTATCGAGGCCCACTGAAGAGTCCAAGTGGGAAGTTAAGTATGCCGCTTAAGCCTGTCCACTATAAACAGCAGGAGTAACCTCTTCCAGTATGTCACGGATGGATGTAATTTTATTATTAAAGAAATGGAGAAAGTTGACACTGCTCAGTGAGCTTGGAATTTTAGGCTCGATTGCGCTATGGCAGTTTGTGAGTTTAGCAACGGTGCTAAACAAAAATCTACTGTTATTTTTATTCGCTTCTATTAAAGTTGAATAGTATTGAGTTCGAGCCCTGCGAAGGGAATTCTTGTAGTTTCGGAGACCTGCTTTCCACTCCCTGTGGACAGGCTCCGAGTGGGAGTGGCGATATAGCCTCTCCAATTTTCTGACGTCCTGTTTTAAAGTGTGGAGTTGAACACTGTACACTCATAAAAATAAATCGTCCAATTTACTCAAAAGCTTTGCGTAATTGTTATTAAGACTGCTTACATATTATGTACTTAACATCCTTTAATAGAATTTATTTAGATTGATTAAATATATATAGTCTAGTTGCATTGCATAGTTACTACCCAAATGTATTAAGTGCCAGATACTCAACTACATTTTGTAATACCTTTATAAAATATCTTATAAAATTTACTCAACATGCTTAAATAAATGTTAAGACATTATCTTCCTACACCAAACTCAAAGATATTAAGTAACTTCTATTTAATGTAATTACATAGAAACAACACTAGTTCTTTAACTAAATAGTATGAATAAAACCCCTTAATATTTCCTCAAGACAGTTACATGCAACTGCTTGATGCAAAATTGTTAAGTAATCCTTACACAATGTACAGGTTTCCAAGAAACGAAAAAACATGTTTAAAACCACAATCTGCATTTATTTAGCAGTTTTAGAACATGAATACATTACTTGTATAAAACATTTGTATAAAAGTGATGCAATTTTCAGTTGCATTTAATCTGTTAAATGCATGCATATTTTTTAAAACAGCTGAACCAATTGTGAGGATTTTAATTGTCTTTTTTCCAAGGAAGCTGTGGTGGTAATATCTCACAATTGGGAAACAGACGTTCACTTTTAACGAACATATCAATAAACAGACGTAAAAAATGCAATACATTTTCAATTACAATAAACTCAAGATGGATGAATACAAGATGGCGCCTCGTACGGTCG